TGCATAGTTACTAGGAATGCTATTACAGGGTATTTGTCTCTTTATAGTGCTTAAAACTCCTTAAAAAGGATTAACAACCCTAAGAGGAAAGTAATTACTATTTTCTCTACTTGACAAACCAGGAAAATGAGATATGGAAACTTTAACTGACATATGCAAAACATTCCATGTTATGATTAAGAGATCAGAGCTCCTACTCTCAGGGTCAAGCTGCTGAATTACTTCATGTTTATATAGTATGTAAATTGGATTATTTTAAAATAAAGTTTAAAATGAGCCGTGACTCCTGAATTTTCCCTCTGGTTCCGTCACTGGTGTGTGTTTAACAAAATGCAAAGGGCATATGTAAATCAAGCCAAACCTGCTTCACATTTATGATTGCAGCCTTTAATCTGCTGATGACTAGGAAGCTTTCCGAGTTTCTATGATGAAAAATACTTAACAGCAAATATCATTGCCATTATATATACTTCTATATTCATACGGAAGTATGAATGTGAAGAACTGGGAAGTTTACTTAGGAGTGATAAAGCAGAAGGAAATGGGCAAGGGACTTTACAGAGTTTCTCACTCTACCGAGATATGGTAAATGTGGGAGAAGTATTTCTGATTTTGCCTGGAAACAAAGCACATCCTCCTCCCTACACCTATTGCACTATGGGATTTGAAGCAATATCAGTGAACATTCTGTTCTATCAGCAGCAAGAGTTTTGATTAATACATGTAGTGGGAAAGATTCATGTTGCTCTAAACTCAGTTACACCTCTGATCACACAATAATGTGGAACTTCTGTTCTCCATTATTCTATATGAAGTATAGATATATGGACTACTCTAAAATATTACTGTCTTCTATAAGACCATGACACAGATCTTCCTTTAGGTAATTTGTTTTCTCATCTTTATTAGAAGAACAAAATGAATTTTGAGCCAGCATATTCAGGACAGCGGTGAGACAAATTGCTGTCAGATGCTTATAACTCTGAAAGCATGATCCAAAGATCAACAGCTTCTTGATAGACAGACAGATGTTCTGTACTAGCCTTCTTCTATATCATATATAGGCTGAAACAGTCTATCAGCATCTGTACATGTTATCTTTTGATGCAGTGAAAAATGTACAGCCCATACTTAGAATCACAGAATCATAGAATAGTTACGGTTGGAAAGGATCTTAAGATCACCTAGTTCCAAGCGCCCCTGCCATGGGCAGGGACACCTCACACTAAACCATGTCACCCAAGGCTCTGTCCAACCTGGCCTTGAACACTGCCATGGATGGAGCATTCACAACTTCCCTGGCCAACCCATTCCAGTGCTTCACCACCCTTACAGTAAAGAATTTCCTCCTTATATCCAGTCTAAACTTCCCCTGTTTTAAGTTTGAACCCATTACCCCTTGTCCTATCACTACAGTCCTCATAGTCTAGAGCTACTACTCCTTTACCACTTCTTTGGAATGTGTTCCAGTGCTTCACCACCCTCACAGTAAAGAATTTCTTCCTTATATCTACATAAGGATATAAGCTATATCTATATATAAGCTCTACCTACCTATAAGCTATATCTATATAGCTCCAGCATGTGTGTGTATCCTGTGACTTGATACTATCTACAGAAACTCCAGGCTCCATGAACTTACATTACTGTCAGCCTGGGTAGGATCTGTGAAAATAAAACCATCCTTCAGGCAGACCTAGGAAGAGTTGTGCATCATCAGAGGCAAGGCAAAACTTGCTATGACGTGACTGAGAGGAGCACAGCGTGTGTTTGTTTTGCAAACCTGACATGCAGTCACATTAGCCGATGCTGAGATGAGTCTCAGGATTTTACAGCATTAGCAAATGATTCCTGTAGCAGTGAGCACTGGCTAACGTCGGGCTTGTGTGTGCTTCTGAACTTCTGAACAAGAGCAGCATGCCATTTCAGCATATCCACAGTCAAAGACACACAGGATGGCATAGAACTACATACTTGGGGTGCTTGTTTCTCACCAGTCAATCACCAAGACAAGGGTAAAAAGCCACTGTGTCCTAAGGAGGAAGCACCATAACTGCAAGGTTTGTGGTGATGACTCTTACGTCCATAGACAGCCAGGGTGGGAAGCTCTGTAGTGATGATTATGACTCATGAGGAACTGAAAAATTTTTGCTGTGAGTTGGCTTAATGATAATGTAAAAGTAAATGTTCTGAAGACTGAGAGGGGCAACAAAAATGTTCTTGATCTCAGGTGTGGGTCTTTGACTGCGATCAGCGTTTCAAGGAGGGATTCAAAAATCTACAGACAAGGAATTCTTCTTAGCAGAGTAAAGCATGAAACACCTTTTTGCCAGGTTTTGTGCCCTGTGGGTAATCTGCAATGAAAATGGAAGAACCGAGAGCTTTCCAATACATGTGAGCAGATGGAGATTTCCTATCAAAAGGTCCTCTAAATGCAGTTGCGTTTCCCCCTGCTCCAGGATAAAAGACATGAGCAGCTTTTGGTGACACACATGCTGGTGGGACAGAAACTCCTGGTGCTGCACACCCTACCATTGCCAAAAATTTGGTCCTTCCTCATTTAGCAGGTCATTAGCATCATTTATTGGTAAAGTATCAGAGCAGGTCATCATTCCTCAGCAACTGTACAGAGTTATGGGTAGTTGAGTATCTTATCCTCAGGGCTCCACTGCAGAGAAGCATGATCTCTATCCATGCAGGAGCAGGGACTGAGTTCCTCTGTCAGACAGAACATGTGGCACAGGCATCTATCTACCTGGGAAGCCTGTCTGCCCATGGTTACATGTGACCTGAAGTCAGAAGTGAGGGGCACCACAGGAAAACCTGCTAAAAATTAGTCTATTCCTTTATCATACAAATTAAAACCTGTGACTACGCAATAGAACAATAAAAGAGCTGTAATAATCTCACTGCAGAGATTACTGAGATGTCCTGTGGCTGGAGAGACCTCCCATCCCATATTCATGATACAAGGCAGGCTGAAGCATGGGCATGTGCTGCACACATGGTGCGAGCTGAAGCCTCCATCCTGAGTGACTGCATGCATGTACAGCCACGCTGCGGAGCTGCAGTCTCAGAACAGAGATATATGGTATATGGTATATATATGATATGTGGTATATTGATATAAACTCCTCCGTGGTAGTCAGTGCAGTGCAAACAGAGCAACGACTTAAATATGGCCTAATTAGGGCCTGCAATTCCTACTGACACAGAAATAAGCCCCAGAGCTGGTGTAGGTACAGTGTTATAAAAGTACCACCTAAAGCAGTGGCAAAGGTGCTAAAACTGATTTCAGGAATTCAAATCACATTGAAACAGCAAAAGCTGGTTTTTGCCTCGTTTTATGACCATCAATTACTCCCACCTGGACTGTTACCAGTGTGCTGCAAAGCATTTCTAATGGAGGCAAGAGGATAACGGAGATTTCAAACACAGCTATCCCCCCTGTATCAGCCAAAGGAACCCATTCTTAACATTGAAGCCATTACTGGGTTTTCAGTTATTATTTCAGCAGGAACACTGTAAGTATTTACACATCACAGTGCAGCCTTCATCCAAGCTAAATAAGACACTGCCCTAAACAACTACTACATTAATGACAGGAAGAAACAAGCACTCTGCAGCCTGCTCCTGGCCTGGCACTAGAGGGCAATGAAGGCTTCAAGCACCAAGGCAGAAGGTCACAGCAAAGTCTTTCCTTCCAGAGAGCTCCTTTTTAGCTAATTTACCATGGGTCTGCCAAGATGGTCACACAGATATGGGTATCACCTTTAAATCCTTACACTGAGAAATGGGCTAAAGGAGATACTATGGGGAAACAGAGTTCCCAAGCAGCAGCAGGAGGCCATGGGATCCCAGCTATCCCCTCCTCTAGCTACACTCTGTGTATATAAAATAACCAAACCTCTTCAGTTTGTTTTATAGCCCTCAGATGCATGTCCCTTGCCCTCCCCAGCAGCTCTTGTCATGCTATATGTGAATATACTATTGGGAATGTGCGTATACTATTGGGACACAGCTACATTCTGTCGGAAGGGAAGAGACAGGCATTAGCCCACTCACTGGTAAAGGCTTTTGCCTCTTGGATGTGATACAGCAGTTGTGCTTTCTAAGATCCAGGTAAATGGCATCAATCAGAGTTTGCTTTCTTTACAACCACGGTGCACAGACAACGCAGCTGCTGACTTCTGAGTCACTGAGAAGGCACGGTTGAGTGATGGAGGGGCAGGGGTATCCTGGATCAACACACTGTCAGCTGCACACACCTCAGGTGGAGCCCAGCACTGTGTCTCAACCCATAGCCCCCAAAACACAAGGCTGCAGGTGCATCGCTTGCTTCCCCTCCTCTTGCCCTGCCATGCTGTGCTGGGGGGATATCTCCAAGGGTCTGCTTTCCTTCCTTTCTTCCTTCTTTCCTTCCCCAGAAGGTGCCTCCAGGACAGGCCAGTCTGTGGGTCTCACCCTTGCATTTTGTCAGTGTGAAAAACCCTTAGGAAACAGCAAAATTCTAGAGATAAAGACCCCCAGCAAAAGATTGCAAGCCAGAAGACTGAAAGGTCAGTTATGGGTTTATGCAAGTTCATGGAAACATAGAATCACCAAACGGTCTGGGCTGGAAGGGGCCTGAAAGCTCATCCAGTTCCAAGCCTCTGCCACGGGCAGGGACACCTTCCACTAGAGCAGCTTGCTCCAAGCTGCCTCCAACCTGGCCTTGGACACTGCCAGGGATGGGGCAGCCGCAGCCCCCCTGGTGCCCCCCCTTGTGCCGCAGCCCCCCCGGCACCGTCCCAGAATGAAGGACAAGTTCATAATAAACGTGAGGTTTGATGGAGCATGCTGGCACTCCCACACTGCCAGCGCTGGCCCTGTGCTGTGACCTCCCTTCCCCTCCAGCCACAGCTGGGCTGAAGCCAGGGCTGTCCAGCGCCCTTTCCAAGACAAATAAAGTGCTCTTTGTTTATTAGTATGTTATTACTATGTCAGCTCCCAGCAGAGTGTGGGACTCTGGAAGAGGAGGAGAGAAAAGATGATTAGTTATTTATGAAGAAAGGCTTTTGATAACAGCCTGAACAGATTAGATTAGAAGCATGGGAAACACTGGACCTCTCATTTTTCTTGTGTTGAGTTTTACTTTCTATTCCATTTTACTATCTATCTATTTCTGATACTTTCTATTTTCCCAAATACTACATTGATTACTTTCCCCGAAGTACCATACTGGAATGTAAGAGTGGGGAAAGAATGCGGTCCTACCACTACTGTGTTGTGTGTGTATATCTATGTATATTTAGACACGTATGATTAGGTGTATGTTAACATGGTGACTTCTAGTTCACAAACTTGGCAGTTTCCCCCAGTACAACCTTCTGCACAAGTGTGGGAAAAGAATGGAGAACTTGTTACCCAAACCGTGGTCATTCTAGAGCACTCTGCAGATACTGATTTCAGATATGGGCAGTTTAAGTAGAAAAGAAAATGTAGAAAACATTTGTCTGTAAAAGTACATTTCATGCTGAATAGCAGTGGTTTAGCCGCTTCTAATTTCAAATCCTCCTCTGCTTTTATTTGCCCTTTTCTTTACTCAGGGTTAACTGAAATATAATTTCATCTGTCTAAACAATATCAGCAAAAATACCAAGGCCTTCAAATCCTGCAAAAAAATTTGCTTATAGAAAACATTAATTTTGCACTTGTCAGTAGCAGAAACTGATTTCAAATGGGCCAATAATACACAGATTGAAGCCTGTCTGTAATTTCATGAGTCCTGTTCTGCAGATTTATTCACAGGCAAAATCCCCAGTGGACCATAAAGGGGAAAATGGTTGAACAGGAGAAACATTTTTTCTTTTCCAGCAAAGATAATTATTAAATCAGTTCTTTTAATTCATTAATATTGTTGAGTTTATGTTGTTTTATAGTAGGGAAAAGCTTGAAGAGGAGTCACAGATCTGATTTCAACTGTGCCACAAGACGTACAAGGTAAGATTCAGTCGATAAAACAGTGAAAAAATGAAGGAATGGAAGAGGGTGATAGCCAGGGGACTAATTTGATGTCAAATCAGTGAACTTCAGAGTTCAACTATCTAGCCTAAGAAGAAAGACATGAGAGGCAAATGTTAGAAACCTGGAGCATATAGATGAAAACCTAGAGCAAAGACTCAAAGCACAGGGCTTATAGTAACCTGATGGTCAATAAAATACTCCCAGGTCATGAAAGGTGGCATTTAGCAATTTTAATCCAAATTCCTGCACTCCAGCTCCCCAGTTCTTCTGACAACCAAATCAGCCTTGCCAATTGCAGAGCTCTTGAGGAAATAAGCACAGAGTGACTGTGTGAACTAGAAGCTCACAACTGATGACACCAGAGAAAACTGTATTGATAGTGACACCACACATATTCACCCTGATCATACGGTACTTTTACAGGCAGTTCCAAGTCATTGCAATCACAACTAGAAATTACACAGATGGCTGCTGTAACATACAGACCTACAGCGCATGTAACATGATGTGTACATAACACGGTACGTAAAACTGCCCACACACTTCCCACATCCCTCCTAGAACAACCCAGCATAAGAGGAAGCACCCACCTGAAGACAGAAAGACGATGAGATGTCCCAGTGCAGAGCTGGACCTCACAAAATACTCTAATGATTAATAAACCAAGTATTCTGACCATGAATAAAGCCAAACTTAATCCTGTCCAAACCCACCACTGCCTTCTATAGTCAGGCAAAGTTACCAGTTTTAGAGAGTGTGTTCTAACAGCTACGGGTCAATGGAGATGAAACCTTGAGCACGCAGTAGATTTGGACCCAAAAGTGTGCATTTGAATTAGATGAAAACTTCAGTGTGTGGGTGCTCTGGCTGAGTGACTCCAGTAACTGGGCAGGAATTCTTGTGAAGATCAATGCCCTGTGCTGAGTGTCCAAGGCAGCCCCCAGAAAACCACACTGCAGTACACACAAAACATGGATGATGATGATGATGATAATGAAATGTAAGCTGGGAAAAATGACACTGTCTTTATTATTACAGTTCTGATGAATGTATGGGAAAAGCAAATAAAGCAAAATTCAAAATACAGACAAACATGCATGTCCATACACACATGCCCACTATGCAGGCATGAGCTACAACCACTATATGGTTATAGCTATATTGTTATACCTCAGTGATCACTGTTAGCAGTGTCATCACCTGGGATGTATGTAGGAACCCCTAGGAGGTTGTCCTGTGCAGTAAGGCACAACTGAGCATGGCAGATTCACGGCAAAGGTGCCAACAGGAACCACTGATGCTCCCAGCTGTATGGGGAGAAGCAGCAGCATCCAGGTTTGACTACTGTCAGGGGTGATGGATCCACAAATCCTTCAACAGAGCCAAATGCAGCACTTCATAGCTCTTGACTGTATGATTGCTGGATCACCAACATCAGCTGAAGGAGAGCGCTGGTTAGGTGATGTGATTCTCCTGGCAGGATTAAACTGTTGAGAGTTTAATGCAAGGAAAACCTAATCAGCCCGTACACAGCATTCAGCCACTAACAAGCAAAGGGAGGACTGATCTGCTCAGTGTTTTATGCTTTTGCTCTCCACTTAACATTTCATCAGTTTGTTTTTAAAGCAATTTCTGCTGTTCACTTAGGTACATTAACGAGGTGGTATTTGTACATGAGGATGTGGCACAGAATCGCTATGAACAATGGACGAGCTATTCCACACGCAAAAGTGATGAGATCAAAACTACTTCTGGGCAGGAGATACAAAATAGCCGTGCTCTTGCTCAGGATGCTGTTCTCACCAAAAACAAGAGCCAGAAAACTGAGTCTACTGAATCTCCACATCTGACAACCTGGACAAAGACCAGAACTTCTGTGCAGATCAGGAAAGAAATGTGTGAAATAATGTATCCAGGTTTCCAGCACTGAAGAATAGAAAAATGCTGGGGAGGGAGGAGTCACGATTTCCACCATTTCCCTCTGCTACCACCCACTTCCATGACACCAAACAAGGAAAGCAAGAATACTGGTAACAGTATGGAAAAGATCTGATTTACCTCTTCAGTGTCAAGCTATTATTGTAAAGGACATTTTGTTAAAAATCTCACAGAATCCATTGAGGAATGCAGACGGCCATCAGCTGCCAATGTTAATGTACTACTCAGCTGAACAGCGTTCAGGATTTTACTGACACTGATGAACAGCAGCAGAGTACTATCGTAATGATAGAAGGGAAGTGGCTGAGAGGTAAAAATGAAAGAGCTCAGGGCAAAATCAGAAACCTGAGCAATTGTGGGAAGGACATCAGAGTCAGGCTGAGCATAACCTCGGTGAATGATAAATTCAGTTTCAATGACCTTCCCAATGTACGCTTAAGTTAGCTGGTTCTGAAGCAGAGGTTAGGCTTATTTGAAATGACACAAGAAGAAACATGCAAGAGGAAGAACTGTAAGTCTGGTATAGAATCTGCCTCCTTCTCTAGAACAAAAGCTGGAGTTTTTTTTCTACACTGGCTACAGTAAATAGTACTACTAAAACCAGGTAGCTTTTACTGGTAGTAAAGAAGGAAACTGAGAGGCAGTGTGTAAAACGTAACATACATTATGGGAAAATGATGACACAGATGTGACTTGTGAAAGAGCACATTCTATTGATATGAAAGTGTTTATTGCCTTTGTGCTTTTGATTCACCTTTACCTTCTTTCTGGAGAAAAAACATGCGGAAATAGTACGGAAAAATGAGTGACGATGTCAGAACTTGTTTATGAATCAGAGCTGTGTGTCTTTTCAATGAACAGGTATTAGAACATGTTTCATTTTGTCTCATTATGATCTTTCTGACACCCCTCTAACCCTCCCCAGTTTATATCCAGGTTCAATTTCTCTATTTGGGATCCTTTATGTTTTATTTCCCCTGTTTTTCTCTGCTTATATTTTTTAAATCATCCCTAAATTCCTCTTTATCCAAGACTTCTCATCACTAAAAGTGGAATAAGAATACTTATATTTGTAAACTGCTCAAACAGAAGACAAAGAGTGCCAGATAATGTTATTACTTCTAAGTAATAGCAATTTGCAGTGTATTTCTACTGCACCAGATAAACATTCTGTATTTTTTATTACATGTAAATCAGTAATTCGAGCAAATATTAATTTTTAAGAAATGTTAACTGAAACCTGCAGCAGCGTCCTGCTGGTTGGACTGGTTCTGACGGATGTTTTGCTTTATTCAGCATTTTATAAAGGGCTCGACTGAACACATTTATTAATTGGGTGATTGGGAGTTGGATTGGAAAACTCTCGTGAGAGTGCGGCTTCTACGAAGATGAGGCAAGTCAATTTATTAGCCCCGGCTGACAAATCTGGTAAACTCACTGTGAGCACTTCCTTTTGCTTTACTGAAAACCAAACATGTCACAGTCCCCTATTTAGATCAGAAAAAGTACAAAAAATGAGACAGAGAAAAGGAACAACTGGTAATGGGGAAACGGTTGCAAATCTTACTGTAAAATCTGATTTGGACCTCTTTATACTACAGCTTTCATCCAGCTGTATTGAGATGTAATAAAGATGGAAATAACAAGTTTTGAGAAGGACGACAGATCAATAAAAATCCATAGATTACCAGAATTTGCTGGTTTCACTGACAACTTTTCTCCACTAAGAACCACTACAGAAATGCTCCTGTAAATAACGAAATCCTGCTGACTGAAAGTGAATAAGTGTCACAGGCTGGCTTTCTTGTGACTAATTTCTTCTGCTGCAAAGATTTTTCACTGGTCATTTTCCTGCTAACCCATACAGTAACCTTCCCATCCTTCTTGGTTTGGGTTATTTTGGGGTGGGTTTTCTGTTGGTTTGTTTGCTTTGCATTTTTATGGTTTTAAGTGGAGAAACGTAACCAGAAAGTGATCTCGGAACTGATCATAATGTGATCCTTTTGTCTTGGCTTCCAGCCACGTGGAGTTAGAATCTTGACCTATGGTGCCTGATTAACAAGCAAAGAGCCTCTGGAGCCTTGACCTGCTGGTGAACTATCTGGGTACTACTGGAGTAAAAGCTGACAAAAATACATTAGGTGAGTGACTTCAGTTTCAGTTTCTCTGCAGTGCAGTGACTCACAGGACTTCTGAAGTACACGGGTGCAATCCGTAATCTTTGGGTGCGAGAACTGTTTCCAATAACACAAATAGCTATTGGTAGATTGAAATGTATTGCTTTGGGTTGAGTTGTTACACATGAAACAAACCTGACAGCCCAAGATCAATAACTCAACTGAACATACAGATAAATGCACTTTTTCATCTCTGTCTTTCCAGTATCTTGCACCAGTTTTGTACTACATTTGTGAAGACCATACAGTATGCACAGTGTGTGTGTCTACTCATGCACACAAGTGTCAACTAACAATATGCAACCAGCTCCTATGACTGTAGTAGAGTTTCTATTTCTACACAACATTTTGTAATACCATGCAAACAAAGCTTTTGCTTGGAATGTTTATATGAAAAGTTTTCTTCTTTTAAAAGCTTTGTAATTAACTAGCAGGGAAAATCTGTATTTACAGGGAAACAACACACTGAGGCAATGGGATCTTTGGTACCTTGCAACAACCCCAGTGGGCATGTTAGTTCCTGTGGAGGACATCCAAGATGGACAGATCAAAGGGAATACAAACCAACAACCTGTTCTCACAAAGATCCCAAGTTACAGAAACACAGAACTGTACCACCCTGGCAAATGGCACAGGAATAAGAAATGGCTAGACCTCCATCCCTAGGAAATAACTGATCCCACAGAAAGGAATAAGAAGAAATCAAATGCTGAAAATGAACTGTAAGCTGTCTCCCCCCCTTTTTTTTTCCCACCTTGCTTTCTGGTTGCTCTTGGTTATGGGAAAGAAGCACTCGGTGTTCCAGCCTTACCACCGAGCGGTGTTTTTCTGCACTCATCAGCTGCATCTGAGTAAGCAGAGCTATTTTTAAATCACCAGCCATCTCATGTGGTAAAGCAGTCACAGAACTGCAGCGTCATGCACAGCACAGGGAATCACTTATCCTGGTTTGCAGCGTCATACAAACGGGAAAGGCATAAACCAGCATCCTACTAACTTTCAAGAGTCTGTGACTAAGTCTCGGTTTCAGATTCTGTCCTGACCCACGCCAAAACGCTCTCTGACATTTTCCTATAGCTGCCCTAGCGTGGTTAAGTCCAGGTTCAGGCTGATTTCTTTTGGTGGTGGGGAAAATTCAGAAAGTCATGAGTACAACTGTGACAGCCGCTTTCCTGGCTGACACATACGGACTGAGCTGGGGACCTCCAGAACAAGAAACGTGACAGGCTTGAGCACTGAACCATGATAGCTCAAGCTGCAGTGTTACAGCTTCTGTTCTTCCTTGATAGGCACATAGATGTAAATACTCGCTGTGCTGTTACACAAATACAAGTGAAAACAAAGTTCAGTGATGCAAACTGAAAAAAGAAATCATATGCCACATTCTACAGTTATATTGTACCTCATTTTCCCACTAAATGTGTAGGAAGCTATGTACCTTGTTCATTAAATAGACATGGAAAGCCTGACTGTTGTATATAAATCAACACAGTACAAGGAATGATACTCAACTAAACATTAACATGACTCACAGTTTAATATGAAAGCTGTGTGCATCCAGGTAGAGATGCTCTTTACAGCAGTGGGCTAAGAGAGCCTGGCACCACTTACAGAAGGATATGCAGAGGATGTCAGAATATATACAGGATGTCACTGTATATATTCTGACATCCCGGCATAAGTTTATTGATGTTTGACATCAGCTTTTAGAGGTTTAAATGGAAATGGCATTCCTGCCCACAGCAGGGGGCTTGGAACTGGATGATCTTGAGGTCCTTTCCAATCCTAACTATTCTACGATTCTGTAAGAGTGACAGCGATAAATGTTGCTGATCTTCCCCGTGTATAAAGGCTGATCATTTTCAAGCATATGGCAAATTTTCAACTTTCATTTCTCCCAAATACAATGCAACACACAGATCTTAAACAACAAGCAACAGACACGTGGCAAAACAATCTAAGCTTTTCTTGGGGAAAATAAAACAGAGCAAATCTCACATGATCATTTCTGTTACTATGTGCTATTTGCAGCAGCTCAGATAAGCAAGTTCCTTATAAAGACCTGTGGATTTATTCCATCATGAAGTTGTTTTGCTCCTGCACCCTGATCTATTATCCAGCCTGCTTCTGTGTTAGCATGCTCTGGGGAGTCTTTTGCAGGTATTATGACTACATCTTTAACAGCACAGTTCAGGACACTCTTTGCTCAATGGTCAGACAATATGCACAGGACTCTGGTAATGGTTTTCCTCTTTCAGTAGCCTCACTAGCCTCCTATGAAGGAGAAGTGTGCTGAAAGGAGCAGTTATATTCCCAAAACCATGTGCCAGGACATGTGCTATGTGCCTCAGGGTATTAACAGTGAAATCTGGAGGATCCGAAGGCATACAAATACTCCATTATTGTGGACGCCTTAACAAAACAAACCCCACCCTGAACACCTCGGGGCTGTAGGACAAGCTCTGAAACCAGGGATTTAATGTGGTCCTGTGCTTAATATGTGCAAAGATGTTTCATAATCAGGGAGATTTAAAGATCTGCGGCTCATTCATGCCAGTCCACTAACAGGAGCTGGCCTGCTAACTCAGTGCTGTGGGTGTCAGGGTGTTAAAAGCTCCTCGCAACAAAACAGGCATGTGAACCAAAGATTGGCTCTGTACACGTACAGTTCTTAAACTATGCTAGATTTGCATGATCCATCCAACACCTGGATGCTGGGAAGCAGGGCAATCTGCCAGACTGACTTCACAGATAAGCGATGTGTGAGGGGGGCCTATTCACAACCCCCTTTGTTTTGACCTCCATCACTACAAGCCTCCACAGTGTTGCTGGGTGGTTTTCTCTCCTTCAGTGAAGGAGGAATAAGTATGGAAAACCAACCTTTTTGAATGGTTTGCTCCATGTAAGTGGCAGGCTGGTTTCTACATATCAACCAATTACCTCACATTTTGGATAACCATCTGCCAAGAGTATGTATTTCATAGAATCACAGAATCATTTAGGTTGGAAAAGGATTTTAAGACATTTGAGTCCAACCGTTCACCCAGCACTAAAGTATGTCCCTAAGAGTCACATCCCCGTGTCTTTTAAATACCTCCAGGGATGGTGACTCCACCACTTCCCTGGGCAGCCTGTTCCAGTGCTTGACAACCCTTTGGGTGAAGAAATTTTTCCTAATATCCAATCTAAACCCCCCCGGCACAACTTGCGTCAAACACAAGGGGTGCTGGTATTTCCATCTGCTTCCATACCAGTCGCTACATGCACACATCTTCCCATCTTATCTTCTAAAGGATCAAATAACACCATATTACTTTCAAAACAGTGATGCACATGCTGGGAAAACGAAGTACATGTCTCACACAAGTCTGAAATCGAGTACCATAAATGGCAGACATTTATTCAAATTACTCATCATCACCCTTCTGAAGTAACAGTAATAATACACTTTTGCTACTCCCCATAACATTCAGCATGCTACACTTTGAGAAAGGCATCACTTCCCCATTCTACCACTTTGCTCCACTACATCTCACAATGTATCCAGTATAAACCTATCCAGTCTATGAAGAAGCCAAATGGGCATAGTCTGACACTCTCAGAGGGCTGGGAAGAATTGTGGACTTTATCCATTTGCACACGTGGGGAAGCTTTGGTATGCAAGGATAGGAGTGGAGTGATTTGGATAGGCTGGCAGACCCCTTTCTCACTACCTGCCCTCATGAATCCTGAAGACTCCATGTTTCCTTGTAAGACTAAGGCCATAGCAAGAGAGATACGGACTAAACAAGCATCAAGCTGACTTCTCTGGCAAGGGTCACAGCATTTGTGCACTAGTGAGGAACAGCTCACAAAATTCCAGGCAGTCCTGGCAGCACCCCAGGACAGACCAGCTCCATTCTGAAACAGCGGCATCAGGTTCACAAGCTGCACAAGCGGGGACAGCACTTCACTGCTCTGTGCGAAAACATCTCCTTTCCAATGGGGAACCTGAAGGAGCAGAAGACTCTCACACTGCTCCCACACAGAGCAGCCAGGAAAGCCCTTTCATCGTAGTGGTTCTCATACAGTGCACTGGAAGGTCATTTTCTCAGTTCCATTTGCCTCTGCTCAAGCTTACTAGATCCCTCTTCTGCAATTCCACCTGCAAGGGTGCTGCAGGAATAAATACATAGGGATAACCCTGGGGATAATAGCACTTTGAACGCTATGTGCTCTGTCAGAAGAGCCCACAGAACAGCATTGATGTTGCAGGTACCATGGCTCCCTTATGGCAAAACCATCCTGTAGCTGTTATGGAGATATGCTGGTAAATTTTGAAGGCGGTGCTCTCGCAGAGACCAGTTCTATTTGGCTTATATTGCTCTGCAGGAACTGTTAGAAACGTTAATGAAGATGGGAAAAGGGAGGCTGGGAAATATCTTTCAAGTGTAAACTTCTGGTATAGATTAACATTAATCCATGAGTGAACCTGTGAAGGAAACAAATTTTGTTTTCTGACTATTCTAAACACCATTTTTACCATTAACAGTAGTAATAGCTGAAGTCTATTATTAACAGACACTACATCTATAAAATTGCCTGTGTATTTGTACTCTTTTCCAAAGCCTTTTCAGTGTTTTGTACCTCGAGCATTTTATGCTTCTTCTTCTCATAGTCTTGCTGTTACATGCGACTTTGAACAAACCTCTTGACATCTGCTTCAGGTTTCCTCATTCCAAAATTGAGAAAAAAATCCCTGCCTGCTTCTATTAAATGAAAATTACAAGAGCCATGCAAGTGCTACACAATATTGGTGTCCTCCCTAACCTCTTTTTTGGAGTAGCTTTGCCACTTCTTTTACTGAGTCTCGTCGGGATGGAGCTGATTTTCTTCACAGCAACCCATATGCTGCTGCATTTTAGTGGTGGTCTTGGCAGTCTTGGGGTAATGGTTGGACTTGATGATCTTAAAGGTCTTTTCCAACCTAGCTGATCCTGTGATTTTAAATCTGTGACCACACAGTGCTGATAACACAAGTGTTTTAGCTGTTGCTAAACCAGTGCTTGCCAAGGCCTTCTCTGCTTCTAATTCTGTCCCCCAAGGAGAGGCTGGGGTGGGCAGGAGACTGGGAGGCAACACGGCCAGGACAGCTGACCCAAAGAGATATTCTATGCTACAGAAGATCATGCTCAGCAATACAGCTGTGGGTGGGTGGTGTGTCAGAAGTAGCTACTGCTCAGTGGCTGGCTGGTCATCGGTCTGCTGGTGGTGAGTGATTGCCTTTGCATCACTTGTTTGGTTTATGTGCCTTTTTTACTTTTCCCTTATTAAACTGCTCCAGTCAGGGTCAACCCACCACACTCCTCTTGTAACTCTGAAAATC